CAAATTGAAATAAATGGAATTCCTCTAGACAGAACTGTGTGGCTAATCTCCAAAAGAAACATAAGTAAAACAAATCAGTTCGTGTACAATGTGACAGAAGGTTCCACTTGGGTTTGTTTGCTTTGAAATGTAGAAAATGGATGAAGCCAACAAAGTCAGAACTTATTTGCTTAAACAACACTCATATTTCCTTTTGCCTGAATGATTTCCCATTGCATTCTCACCAAACAAACAGAATATGAGAGGAAAAGTTGAGGAGAAACTTACCCAACAAGTACTTGAAGGTGTGAGAGAGACTGGTACGATCTCCATTTATGCTAATTTGAGAGGGAACTGTTGACGCCTTTGACATTATCTAATCTGATCGTGTCCTTTCCACTTTCTGTTTATAATAACTCCACCTGTTTGAAACTAAAAAAATAAACACACTAGAATCGCCATTGATCATACATTAAAAATGTATGTTTGATGTGGATGATGAATCCAGAAAAAGATGTTAAGTGTGTCACCTATCTTGCAGTATATGCTCATCAATCAAGGGAAAAAAAATATATGTTTGGTCAAATATTAATGTGTATTTATCAATTAAACCTAAAATACATCTAGAAAATAAAAATATTTTTTTAAAATAAAAAGTATGATATGTATCACTAATTACAAGTACCAAAAGGGTGTCAACTCATGCACAAAATTATTTACATGTCCCTTAGGATGTCGACAAGGTTCCCAAGATCCTCAATAGAATACAGAAAATGATCCATAACCAAAAAACCCAGGTTTGGAATCATCTATCTCTAAACTATCAAAATCATCTTCCACCCCCTCAAATGCTCTTTTATTTCTCTCTTTCTACATCACCCAAAATATAGTAACAGGAATGAGTTCCACATGTTTCTTCCCACCACCAATACTCTTCTACTCCCAAATCTTATCCCTTACAGTACCAGTCATTTCCCAACTAATCTCAAGAAGCCCATATTCCATGGTCCATAACTTGTATGCAAGTAGACACCAAAGCAGAATATAATTACAAGACTCCTCCACCCTTCTGCATAGAACAACCGTTCACCATAATCTTTTCCCTTCTCATTAGCTTATTAATGGTAAGAATACATCCATGTCCTGTCTCCCAAGCAAAGAGAGCAACTCTGAGGGAGCATTCACCTTCCAGAATTGTCAAAAAGGAAAACTGGTCTTTATGGAGTTATTCTTAGATAAGTCGTTATCAAAGGACCTAATCATAAATATTCCTGCTAAATTGAGGCTCCAGACCAGTTGGTCATCACTCTTATTTAGAGATGTAGAAGAAAATGAACTTTGGAGAATCTCATACTCATTTATTTCCCAATCATTAAGGTTTCTCATCACCTACACATGCCACTCCCTTTCCCTCCAATGTCTACGAATGGTTCATTGACTAAGATATGCTTATACCATGCAATACCAAAAATCTATAGGAACCTATCCCTAACCGTTCCCCTCCAAGCCAAGAATCCATCCAAAAGCTTATTCTCTCCCCATTCCCGACTCTCCACCTAATACATTCCTGAAATTTACCCCTTTCCATGCATATTTTTTTCCACACCTCCTTCTTATGTGGTTTTGGCAATACTCTGAAATATCATCCTCTATCCACAATACCAAACTTTGCCTCTATAACTCTCTACCATAAAATGTCATTTTCTTTCATGAACCACCAAATCCACATAACCTACAACACCTGGTTCATTTCTACTACAGATCTCAATCTCAAACCACCCTGATGCAAAGTCTTTTAATCTCATCTCATGCCACCAAGTGAAATTTTCTTCTCTCCTTAGACTTTGTTTGGATAAATTTCAATAATGGTTAATTAATATATAGTAATGACAGTAATTGAATGACAATAACACAAGATTATAATGGCAAAATTTTTTTACGTTTGGATGATGATATATTAATGTACGTTAATGGTATATTTTTGTTTAAATAATAGGATGGTATAGTTGTATTTTTAACTAAATTACTAATTTATCCCTACATATTATATGTAATAGTAAATGGTATAAAAGAAGTATGTTAGGAAAAAAAAAATTAGTTATTAATATAATTATATTTGTATTTAAATAAATAATTATTATACATAATCAAATTAAAATTTTATATTTAATAAAATAAATAATTATTATTTATATTATCACATTAATTTAATAAGTTTTTAATTGTCATGATGTATATAAAATTAATTAAATTAGATGGGGGTATAATGGGAAACAAATAGAATGTTCGTCAAATACCACCAATTTGGTGGTTTAAAAATTCGTCCCAAAATTTGTCAATTAAATACCATTTGTTACTATTAGAAATTGAAACAAACACGGTTTTCTCACATCTGAAAAATATCATATATTAAAATTCTATCATTTACTATGATCCAAACAGAGGGATACATTAAAATTCTATCATTTATTATGATCCAAACAGAGGGTTAGAGACGCCCTATATGAATCTAGATTGAAATGCTTCTGATCTCTTGGCAATGCTCATTGGAATTATCATAAGGGACATATGATAAACTGGAAAGTTGGTCAGCATACTTTTGATTAGTGCAAGTCACTCACCTTTGGATAGTAGACTTCTCTTCCACCCCACTAATCTCCTTTCAAATCTTACTACAACAACGTCCCACGTTCTCACGTCTTTTTAACTTGTCCCTAAGGGCATACCCAAGTACTTAATTAGCAACTCCAGCATTTTGCATCTCAAAACTCTTGCTAATCTATTAGTGTCCCTCCCATCACCTAATCTCACCAATCGGACTTAGTTATGTCGATATTAAGGGCTTCAGAATCTCAAAAATTGGTCAGACCCTTATGACCTCAATGTCTCTTCTCCATAATATTTTCTTATGACCCTCAATATTTTGCTTTTTTGTGTCATCAAACAAAATGGCAGGAGGCAACATCAAGTGCAAGCATCAGGTATATGAGCCAGATAAACAGCAGCAGAGAAACAAAAGGATGGTGGGGACATAATTGGTTCAGAGTGTTTGGGTTTATTTGCCTAGTGCTTATACCGAGTCTGGTGTAGTGAATATATGCCTGAAGGAGATGAGATGGCAAAAACAGAGAGAGTAGATGGAGAGAGAGAGAGAGAGAGAGAGAGAGAGAGAGAGAGAGAGAATGAATGATAAAAGTGAAAAGGATAGAAGAACTGGAAGAACGATGATGGTTTGAGGTGGTTAGGACTCGAGACATGGTAGTGAGAGTGGAAGAGGAGTAAAACAGTGCAAAACAGGAGAGGCCAAAAGATGGAGGTTAGGGGTTTGTGACTTTTCAGGGCAAAATAAGATGTTGATTCATTGTGTACTTGAGAAACTATAAACTGTGAGATCAGTACTAAATGAAATACATTGTCAGAAATACATTCTCATATAGAGCAAAACAAGGCATTAAGAACTCAAAACCAAAATTTAACCAAGTAAAAGACAAAACCAATATCCTCTCACATATTTAATATTTTAGCCAATTCAAAACAGCAGTCAAGCAAGAAGTGCTCATAATATAGTGCCAACTATCAAAAGAAAAGGACAAGACAGAAACATAATCTGCATAGATCAACCCCAGTTTATTTGTTATCTATAAATTCTTAACCACGTTTTACAAACAACCAGCTATTGCATTAAATCTAAGCAACAAAATAGAAAGATTCCCAAATAATCAAATTTCAGAGGGAAAGGACACAACCACAATACTCCAGCACTAACGATCCACTTGATTCAATGTGCATTCCATCTTTATTTATTTTCATATTAGTCTTACTAGAATTACAAAATAATTTTTAATATTTTAGTTACTCTCATCCCCTCCTTGAATTATTTGACCTTGAATTCCCTGGTACCTTCTTTGAATTTCCGACTCCATAATAGTAAGAGACGGAACGAAAAGTAAACCTAAGGCTATAAGAAAGACAACGACTGAAAAAATACAATTTCTATCAAATATTAGCTATGCTAAACAATGAGAAGAATAATACTGTTACCTATCGAGAGGTGAGCCCGCCGTCTCGGAGGAGTGGAGGGGTCAATCCAGCAGCCAAGCTCGCAGAGGGACGAAGAAAATTTATGTTGCTGCAGTATATGTGGAGTGATTCCAGCATGTGCATGCGGGCGATCCTGCATCGGGGGCACAAGAGCAGCGCCGGGGTTGTCCTACGTAGTGCATCAACAAGCACGGAAAGAAGGACCAGGAGAGCTTGGCATGTGATGGTGCCTTCAAGTAGATTGCCGGCAGAGGGAAACTGGGTTTAGAGGACGATGAGTTGCCGAATAATACCACGGAGGAGACTGATCGGCCTCGCCAAAGTTGCAGGCGTCAACTGTGCCAGATGAAGCAGAGTTTGCCAATTTATTTTCATTTTCTTCCCTTTGCTTATGGGCCGGGTTTTTTCTTATGCATTTACATTTGCTTTCTCAAATAGAGTTAGTGGACTTTCGCTCCTCCGAAACCCCTGATTTCTTCATGTTTTTTAGTCGCAATCCACTCTCGAGCCTTGCTCTTTCCCTCATTTCCGACATTAAGATGCATGCCTCTGTTCTTCCTTCGCTGCTCTATTTTCTCGAGCCGTGAAAACCTTCACTCCGTTTGCTTTGGTCTTTCCTTTCTCTCTCACCAGAAGTGGCTTTTATGCATCAGGTATTCCTTGCTCAGCCGCCTTCCCTTTTCACCTCCGGCAACATACCTTCTTTTACTTTCCGAGTTCTTCAACCAGCAACTCCTCGAGCTTTTCAACTTTGCTTGATTTCTATGGATTGGGCTGCAAACATGTTTTTATTTGCGATATATTTTTTAAAAAATGTATTTTTTTATTTCATGCAATTTAAAAATATTTTTTAGTAAAATTAAAAATAGCAAACAAATTAAAGTTAATGAATGATAAACTTTTTTAGAAAAAATAAAAAATAATAACAAAATAATATATATATATATAATGTAAATGTAAAAAAAAATAATTAAAGAATATAAATTTTATGTTAGAAAAAAAAAATTGGAAGAGATTGTTTCAATACATACTAAAAGTTAACAAGA